GCAAACAACTCACTATTTAGCCCATTTGATTCCTTACTCTAACTGGATGCCTAGTAATTACGCACTCACACAGTGGTTGTCACTCTGCATTGGGGAGAAAAGGGAGGCAACTGCTGTTTCTTAGAAACATTATCAGCCCTTTAGATATCATTGGACTACAAGATCTATCAGCTTCTACCCGCCCTCATCATTGGCTATGCTAGCAATGGCTGACAGGAGTTGCAGTTCAAGAGTTGCATTCCCCACCACTGTGGTAGGAACCAGGTGCTGGAAATAAATGCAGACCTGTGTCTGTTTCTGATTGAACAATAGCATGTGGTGAGTAGTGGCTTGGAGTACTGAGTCCAAACTTCATGGCAGCAACAAAGAAAAGGTTGAGCAGTCCTTTAGAGTTACAGGTCCATTCATAGGTGTGCAGACCAACAGGAATGGTTTTGTGTCATGGCCATGATCACACCATACATCAGACCATCATGAAGTGCAGTCCACACTCCACTCTACCTTGGGTGTGATTTCAGGGTCCAAAGCTTGCTGTGCTGTAAGTATAGGCAAGCTGTCTGCAGAAAAACACTTTTTTTCTTACAGCTTTGGGAGCTGCAAACAGCATCTACATTCTAGGCTGGATACTGGAAGGTGTAAGGGACTTGGAAATACTCTCAGGACCATGGTTTATTTGATATACAAACACCTTCTAGGTTTTAGCTGGGGCCTTTTTACCTTTTTGGTTTATGTTGAGGAAGGCTGAGTTGTCTGCAGAGTGCTTTGGGTCTCTGTCTTCTCTCATCAGAATTTGCCTGGACCTGCAAAACTCTAAGCTCTCCCACTCTCCTCTGTACATACCCAGACAAGGAAAATGACCACCTATTTACAGAATGAGGCTATCAATTCATTTCCTATTGGGTGTTGTGGCTGGTCTTTTGACCGTAATAAAGTTTTATCTATCTATCCTATTGGGTGTGAGCACATCCATAACTCTGAGGTGCCAATCCGGGGGCTGTTGCATGGCTACAAGGAACTAAAACCTCTGCCAATAGGTCCATGGTGACCTCACAATCTCTTAGAGCACAGCACTCCACCTCACACATTTCACTATAGGAGTGGGACTTCTGAGCAGGGTCTCCTGTTTAGGCCATAAATCATCTTTAATAGGAGCTACATGATCCTACTATTCATGTCAAGTCTGCATCTGAGATGAATTACATGAAACAAGTCTGCATTTGACTTTGATTGACAGCCACCACAGCCAAGAGAGGTCCCTCTCAGCAGGCCCTGGTTGGAAGTTCCTCCCCCAAGACAAGAAGTCGTAGTCTAATGCAAAATTAGGCTGCTTACATCAAGGAGACATAAATTATTACATGCATGAATACCTTTTTCCACTTCAAGCTGTGTCAGTGGTGGAGATAATAAAATGCCCACCTGCTCTCTTGCCATATTAAATGAGCTAATCCAGTCATGTCATAACCTGAAGCCAGTCTTGATTATATCCTGATGGCCAAATATTGTATATCTGTTCAAATTATTTGGGGCATTGGGATCTCTATGATTTAAGACTGAAAAATGCACATATCATTTAGGAAAGACAAAAATATTAATACTGAGTTCCCTTGAGCATGTTTATTCTTAAAGGTAAATGTTAATAGCTCTGAATTATAGGTAATATCAGAAGCTGTGACTATAATAACCCTGACATGGGGAGTAAGAGTTAAAGGTTTTATGTCTGTGGGATTCTGTTGGTTTCAGATCCAGTGTCCTCCCCTGGTATATTATACAAAACAGAACATTTCATTAGTACTCAATTTCAGTCTGAGTCATAGATCTTTAACAAGAAGATGCAGGAATTACGTTATAGATTATTTTATCACACAGGCAAAATATCTGTAGAAATTAAAAAAGAAACACTAGCTATTCAAAAAGTGTTGTGAGTATAAGAATGCTTATTCAAGCACATTTGGCAGTATGGCAATAAAATGCCATTACTAGAGAATATCTCTGGCATTAATGTAAACTTTTCTTCTAAAGCTTTAAAATTGAAAAATGCAAAATACCGGAAAAGGATTCAGTTTTATGCAATTCATCTGTATGAAGCAAGTGAGGCATGGAGAGTGTTGTGGTAAATACACTATATTGCTATTGATTATAATAAATCTATAGAGATAGACATAAATAATCAGAATTATTTTCTTTTCATGCAATATGCATATTTATGGTAGTTGGGATTCTTCATGACAATCAGTATCACTACAAAATCAGCCAGACAAGTACTCATCCAAGTTGTTTCATGTGATTAATCTCAGATGCAGATTTGTCATAATTTGTGTAGTTATGTAATTATTGAATTCTATGGCTACTAAAAAAGAAAAGATGTCCACTTTGGATATTGTTATGGTCTTAGAATACAGTCACCTTTCATATAAGCAGTCATCCACTTAGGAGACAGGTTGAAATGGAAATTTGTGGGCACAGTGATTCAATGTACAGCACTAATGTCACTCTGTGATTCCTAGTGTGGAGTCAACTTCTCTATAAATTTCACTGATTCAAATTAGCATACTCTAGCTGTGACCTACTATGCTAAAGTACATGGCAGTTACATCAGGCCCATTTTAATCAGTGGAATATATAGAAAAATTAAACCACCAAATCACCATGGATTAAATGGGCTGACTCTAGTGCTGTTTACTGTTCTAAGCAACAGGATTTTGGCCACTGTTGAGTCACTCCATGCTCAGAATGTGAAACAGACAGAACGGTAGAAAATTTCAACAATTAAGGTAAATCAGTTCCTTCTTTAAATATATCTATAAACAAACAGGTTGCACAAATACTTTAATCAACTGCTGAACTGCTCATAAAGTCAGGAAGATCTTTGTGATGCATTTCCATTCAAGCCCAGGAAAACACAGTTATTATAAACATAAAAGAAATGTTAATACATCAAATTTTTCATTCAAAGTGTTTCTCCTTGTGATCCTCTCTCAATCTTTCTCCACCAATACTCTTATATTCATGAAAATTTCATGCTCTATTTAAGTGAAGGAGAAAATAGTGCTGACTATACCCAAGTTTTCATAAAAGGTTTCCCATGCAGGCTGATTAATGTCAGTTCTGATGTTTTAGCAGAAGCTTCATATCATGTTTAAATAATAGTTCTGACACTGCCTTTAGGAGGCTTCCCATGCAACAGAATGAAAAAATATACATAGTATAATACGGTTACTGTTTGCTCCAGATGATTGTACATGTTAAATAATATTACATACTGCTCTATTCTTTCAGTGGAGGATCTGTGAAAAGGAAATATTCAATGCAGAGAGGCAGAGCTCTTAATACAGTGTATTGGCATAAGGTTCAAATCAGAAGCTTAACATATTGTACAGTAGTTCTTACAGATTTAGCATCCAACTACATGTTCAGCAGGTGAACTTTATTATTGATTTTGTTGCTGTTATATGCCATCAAGTTCTGCTGACTCTATGAAAGAGGAATACCCAATATGTCCTGTCCACAAGTCCCTGCTCAGCTTTTTTAAACTCCTTTAGGGAGTAGACCCATCTCTTATTTGGTCTTGCTATTTTCCTGCTGCCTTCAATCTTTTCAAGCATCTCTTTTCCGGAGAATCCTGCCTTCTCATGATGTGCCCAAAGTATGACAGCCTCAGTTTCAGCGTGTTTTTGTTGTGGTAAGGAGGGAGAGATTATCTGTTACTGTGATTGATGGGTGTCGTTAGCTGGTCTTTTTTGTGCAATGATCCCTTGTCCTTCTGGCTGGGTAGAGTTCATTGACCTTTTACAGGCTATATTTTTCAATATTGGGAGCCAGGCCATGTTTAGGTTTAGGCCTTCTTCCTTTTTGTTGAAATTCTGTTGATGTTTATGGATTTCAATGGCTTCCCGGTGCAGTCTAACATAATGGTTGCTGGTGTTGTCCAGTATGGCATCTGTTGTCATTATCAGTGGTTTGCTCCATTCCCATAGGTTGACATGTGGCAAAAGTAATGTTTACTTCTAAGCAATAAGAACTATCTGGTAGCTGGGCTAAATTTGTCTGATATGAATGGCATTGCTCCTTTCAAGAGATAATGGGATAGTACTACCCCCTCTCCTATTTACTTCCAGCTATGCAACTCAGCACAATTTGGAAAAAGTGCAGGCCTTCCAAGTAGCAGGCCAGTCTGAATTTGACTGCTTGTAGAAGTTAAGTGGGTCTTTTGTTATTGTTGTTTCCATCATGATTGCCGCTTGATTTGACAGTTATACCATCTCCATTTCACCTGTACAGCCATTTGCTCAAATTGTCATGACATAAAAGCATGCTAATGGACATTAATGTGACACAAGGAAGACATAAAACACCGCTGTTGTAAATTCTTCAATATTTGCATGTAGATCATTTCAGGCAGATGCTTGCCCATGTGAAACTATGGTTGTATAGTTCATATGCGATTGCTATATTACCTCAGATCCACATGGATGAGTTACCCCATCCTTGAAAGTGTACCACATTACTCATTGTGTATCAGAACTTTTGAAGACTAGGGATCATGATTTGAATTGTTCATGGAGTTCTGATACTGTGTACACTATTTTAAATTGTTTTAGATAATTTAAACCATTTAAAATTCCTTATTCTTTTAATTTGTTTTATTAAACACAAACAAACAAATGCCTTGAGAACTTTTGATACATAGTAAGGTATTGATGTTTTAATACATAAAATGTAAATTTTGATACATATGATTGGTTCAGGCTTGCTGTCATCCTAAGGAAACACATTCTTGAAATAAAACAATAGTCAGTAGAATGACAGAGCATCCCATTGCTTTATTTCTGTGGCTAGGATTTCAGATCAGTTTCCTGCACTGACAAAAGTTTCAAGCTCAAATTAGTTTAATTATAATCTGTATGTATAATCTATAACTATACAAAGAGATAATGTGTATGTATAATCTATAACTACGTATATAAAGATATATTCCTTCATGAAATGTATTTTTTCCCTAGTGGGATGCCATAACAGAAATGGATGAATACAATCGTCCCATCCACACTTACCAGGTATGTAATGTTATGGAACCCAACCAAAACAACTGGCTTCGTACAAATTGGATATCCCGTGATGCAGCCCAGAAAATTTATGTGGAAATGAAGTTTACACTGAGGGACTGCAACAGCATTCCGTGGGTACTGGGGACATGCAAAGAAACATTTAACCTCTACTACCTGGAATCAGATGAATCTCATGGAATTAAATTCAAGCCAAACCAGTACAATAAAATTGATACTATTGCTGCTGATGAAAGTTTTACTCAGATGGATTTGGGTGATCGCATCCTTAAACTGAACACAGAAGTACGTGAGGTGGGACCGATAAACAGGAAAGGATTTTTCCTTGCTTTTCAAGACATTGGAGCATGCATTGCTTTGGTCTCTGTCCGTGTTTACTACAAAAAGTGTCCTTTCACCGTTCGGAACTTGGCTATGTTTCCTGACACTATTCCAAGGGTTGATTCTTCCTCCTTAGTGGAAGTACGAGGTTCCTGTGTGAAGAGTGCTGAAGAGAGGGATACTCCAAAATTATATTGTGGAGCAGATGGAGATTGGCTTGTTCCTCTAGGAAGATGCATCTGCAGTGTTGGGTACGAAGAAGTGGATGGCTCCTGCCATGGTAAGACATTTGTTCTTGCATGTACTTCAAGACATCTTTTGTTTGGTTTTACTGCATGGGCTGGTCAAAAAGCAATCAGTGAATACACCAGGATATTTGCTAGAAGAAATTTAATGCCATATGTCATGTTGCCGTGTGGTTTCTTTGATACTAGTTATGCTTCTGATCATACAAACACAAATGTTCATTGTGAAGCATATTCAGAAAAGAATGGAGATTTATATATTGTTAAGGCATTCCTGATATAATTAATGATTGTGGGTATGTGATCAAAACTACTGTTACTGTAAAGGTTAAAATAGTGCACTTTAGTGGACCTTGCGATTTCCATCTATTTTTGCCAAATTCCTTCCTTTTAAAGAAACAAGTTTTCAAATACTGCAAAGAAGTGGGCCCTTTGTTCTCTGACATTATATATGGGGCTATATGCAAAAAATACTGTATTAGGAGTTTTTGAAATCAATAGATGTGGACATCAAATGGAACAAACTTTCCTGAAAAAATACAAGTAAACTCTCCTACCAGCACAGACTGAGTTGTTCCACAGAACAGTAGCTCACATAGCCCAGTAAGACTGTGAAGCCCTAATTGTTACGAGTACTTTTATCATAAAGTACTCATAGTACTTTATGATCAAGCCCTAATTGTTAGTACTTGAAGCTGCAAATGCAGGATATGACTACAATATTACCTTCTTTCGATAAGAATTTCAAAATTCTGTCAATAAAATCGATCTATTAATTATGCACAAAATATATTCAGCATTTCTAGGTAGAATTTTCTTTAAATATTGTATCTTACAATCTAATTTTATATATTACTTTATTTCTCTTTTGGTCCTCCCTCCTCTTGCTTTCATGTGTTTTATGACTGTGTATTTTAAGTAAAGAGAAAAGATATGCTGCTGAACAAGCAGTGACTAGGCAGAAGCATAATGAACTGTGGGAGTGCGTAAAAGCATGTTTATTCAAACGTTTTTATTTAATTGCTGAATGAGCAGGTATTTAGTGTTTAAACAGTTCATGTATTAGGTAACTTGTTTTATTATTTTCCCTGTTTGACTTGTTTTAGGTATAACTGGTTATACACATTCATATACTTTTGCCCTCTCAGCCCAGAATAACGATGCAACATACAGGTTGTTAAGTTATAAACTTGGGCCACAACCTTATTAACTATTTAGAGCTATATCCCCCAAAATACAAGGGGACCTGCTGCAGTGTGATGTTCTTTACTGTCAGGATAACCATATATATCCAGACGCTTGCTAGAGCAGGGTGAGTTCCTAATTCTGAATCATGCTGTTCGCTGTACAGCACACCTTCAGGTGCTCTGTGAAATTGTGTCTCCCCCCAACCAGCTCATCCTGCCAAGCCTCATGACCCTAAGCGGGCTTGCCTGGAGGTCATCATTTGTAAAACCACCTCTCATCTGCTAGCCACTTGTCTTGACCTGACAGAGAGATGGCCTAATTTTGGGCACCATGTGTCAATCATAAACTCACCCCACTTTTCCATCACACTAACCGAAGCTGTGACTGATGATGACTTTAACCAATATGAACCATTGATAAACCACACCCTATGATTAAGAATGGAATGGGTAAAAACATACCAGCAGCCAAAAGCCAACTAGGATGCAGGCCAAAAATTCCCATTGGGCTCCAACCAGCAACCAGGTAATCTCACTCTTAAACAAAGGATCAAAATGCAAAGTGGTTTTATTGACAATCTGCAAGTTAAGGTTCACTTCATCCTCCCGGGCTCCATTCCAGAGCTCAGTTCCTTTCATTAACCCAGGGGTCTTGCCATCCCTCTGACAGCCCCTGTTTAACTCTGCCGGGGCTGACAACACTCCTTTAGTCCAAGCCGTACAAGTTGCCTCTTTCAAGGAGAGTTTGTCCTAGTGAGTGGCCATGGTGCTACAGGTCCCTTAAACTCCAGCTGTCTTGCCTTTCGAGATCCAGCTGTCTTGCCTTTCGATATTTGCATTTCTAATGTCACTTCTGCATCGGGGTTGGCTGGTCGGTTGAATGGCCCCATGCCACTGGTTACTGGGCATGAGCTCAAATCCTCGTCTTGCCTTTCGATATTTGCATTTCTAATGTCACTTCTGCATCGGGGTTGGCTGGTCGGTTGAATGGCCCCATGCCACTGGTTACTGGGCATGAGCTCAAATCCTCTGCCTCACCCATAGCCATGTGGGAGTTGCAAAACTACCAATGTCCAGTCCAAGGGATTTTCTACAAGGGCACAGTCAGAGTCCCCCTCCCCCAGCAGAACTTCCTCCTACTCTTTGATGACATCTACCTAGTGGCCTCCTCCTCTGGCTTCCCACATTCCTTCCACATGCACACACAGCTCTGCTTCCATTTTATCCAACCTATCTGGGAGCAGGATTCTGGCCCCACCCTGCTACCCAGGTCATTCTCATCCATTAGCTTCCCGTCCCAGCCCTGACCTGGCTGACTGGTTTTAATGCCAGCCCAAGGCCTGACAGAAGGCAATTCCAATGGGCAGTCAAGGAGGTGCAGGGTGAGAGCAGATGACCTACAGAGGGGGCAGAGGCAGCCTCCTCTCACTCTGATTTTTAAATTCCACATACAACCTTGTTGTTTATGCATGTATAAATGATCCTGAGAGAAGCTGCAGAGCCCTTCTGTCCACAAACTCTTAAAAAGTGAACAGCTTGAATCTTCTGGCTCAGTTGCCATGGTTGTATAAGCAATCAGTTGCTGTGCTGCACTGAAGTCTACAAATCCAATCTGGAAAGGTCTAAAATATGCACAAAAGAGCATAGGATCAGATACTGGATTTTACCTTAGTAAAATGACTGGAAATTAGTCAAGGGGAAACCTTTACTTTTTTATTTTTATGTTACATGTAAACCATCTGGAGTATACATGTTCTAGATGGGTGGTATATAAATCTAATAAATAAATTAAATAAATAAATAAATACTAAGCAACAGTGCCGCAAGATATAGCCTCCTCCCCTTGCTCTGTTGCTGGGATCCATCTTTTACTTCTGGATTAGGAGAGCCGATGTTCATTTGAGCTGATGTATCAATTGCAGGGTGAGCCTTTTTTATTTTTTTTCTCAGAGAATTCTTCATTATCATTATATGTATGATAACACAGTCTCATTGTCATTTTAATTTTATACTGTTATTCTATATTATTCACTACAGCCCCATCCACCATATTAAATTATTTTGGCAAAGCATACCTCTTTTAATAAAAATTTCTACCTATGCTATTATAATGGATGAAGCAAGAATACTTTTATTATAATTCAGTGAATAAATTGTAAGGATAAATTATATCAATAATCTGATCGCTCCATTTATTAAAAAATAAAGCTATATCCCTATTCTCCTGTTCATGTATTGTTTTCTTCTCTTATATGCTGCTTTAATTCACTCAACCACCTGTCATACTTTCCCTCAATAGTCATTAAGCAAATGTATTTCCTTTGTCTTCTATAATGTAGCTATACAGCTTCTTGTTGTTGTCAAAAGAGTTAGAAATACTTCTAAATTTGTTCCTTGTGAATCCAGAAGTTTTAAAAGCTATTTGTTATGTTATATTCAATGCTCTTTTGAATCAAATCAAATACAGCCTCCAGTTTGTTGTTTTTTTTTAATTTTTCTAACAAACTGAAAAGATGAAGGGAATTTGCTTTTGAATTGCCATGTCTCCAATGAGACATATTCTTTTGAAAGATATTCTATATAGGTTATAGTATCACTGCTATATCATTTTGAAAAAGTTTTCTTCAAGATTTGAATGAATCAGAATTAGAGGAACTTTATTAAACAGCCAATCCCACTCTGATTGACTGCTTTCAAGATTAAGTTGTAATATATCTTTCTATTTCCACCTATAATTGGGATATGATTTGATGTATTTTATCTCAGAAAGTATTAAATACTTTTCTATTAAATATTTGTGAAAAATGTATTTGGAGATTATTGTGCCATAAACTAAAATCATATATTTATAATTTAAAGATATTCAGCTAAATCTGTTCTCAAAGTTTGGAGTACGTTGGCAGCAACTTTAGCTCCTAGGTTTTCATCATAAACATCTATACTAATGAATTTGTAGATGAAGAATTAAGAACTATTAAGACTGCATTATCAGAAAAGATGCATGTGTAGATACGCTGGATAAAAGAAAATATATAATTTCCTATCCAGAATAGGGAGCCTGTTCTTGATGTGATGCTGCCACACAGGCCTCTCTTCACATTTGACCTTGAACATTATATAGTATTGAGAGGTATTAGAAGAAACTGCTCTACTATGATTGGCTTGAACCTGCTGGCTGCATCATCAACTTCATGTCCCTGTTCCTGTAGTTCACTCCCAGTGTGGTGCTGAAGGTATGGATTGAAACAAATACCCTTTTGGAACACTAAACTGTATAATGTTATAAAGAAAGTTAGAAAGAAGTTTTCATCAGGCATAGATATTGCAAAATCTGGCTACATCTAGCCATCTAGGAAAACTTTGTAGAACTGATGGAGCAAAAAAATCCCAAAAGATTTAAATATATATAGAAAGGCAATGGGGATATGTGGAATGGGACTATGAACTTAACATTGCTTTTCCCTCTCAAGTAATGTAACTGGCATAAATTTCATCAAAATTGAGAATATGTGTTGTGAGGCTTCATTAGAGGAGAAACACCACACTAGTACAATTTTGTTGTTTTGCATTGGCCTCCCATCTCAGAATAATGAGGCAAGACGCAGATGATCGGAAAACTAGGCCCACACTTAACATTAGCCAAGTTATTAACTTCAGAGTCCAACCAAAAGAGGAGCCTGCCAAAGTACAGAATTGGGTTTGTAATGGATATCTCACCAGACCCTTTCTTCATGAAAACAGATGAGTCCCATGCCCTGAGGTCACATGGTCCTGAAGACAGCATGGCACCAGGCAGCTATGCTCTGACCACCCCCAAGCCTCAAACCCCCTGTCTTGAGGTGGCCATT